TTACATCTCGAGGGCATTCTAAAGTTTTAGTCTGAACCCTGTTTGAGTGCATCTTTTGAACCTGCTTAGTTCTGGAACTGATTATGATATTCTAAATTGTTTACTACAACAAATATATATGTATTAATCTTAAAGTCACATAGTTCAGTAGATGATTCTTCAATTCAAGTGGAATTGTAGTACACAACTGGCTCTTAAGGACAAATTTTTCTTTAACCATTGCATAATGTTAGTACCTTTGAAATCAACTTGTTGAAATATAACAAATCATTGTCCTCATAAGATGTAAGTAATTTTCCATAACTTTCTTAAACATAAATTTATTCATTTTCTGAAATTATTTCTTTAAGAAACAGTATCTTTCCAATCGTTTTTTGCGTATGGAACACAAAAATATTTTTTATGCATTTTCCTATAGAATACTTCCAATTGACAAAATCAGTTGAATCCAGTCTTACATATAAAAGAATTAGAACCACTAAAGTATTTAAATAAACTGTTTCAAACAAGGTTTTTCTTGGTTGAACTTGACACAGTATTCGTGGCAAATTTATTATATGTACTACTATCTTAAAATCTCCCAATTTCTCAAGATTAATGGACAGAAGAAATTAAAATTCAAATAAATGCATAACTGAACCAGGGGATCAGGCATTAAGCAAAGAAGTAATCATTAGACAAAAGTGTAAAATGTTAAAGTTGTCCTTGTACAGGGTGTTCCATAATTTGTTTCCCCATTCTAAGTCATAATACAAATAAATGGAGTGATATATTCCAGGAAATGAAGTGCATTGCAATTGACAAGAATGTTCACTATTAGTTCTTTCTTTGGTAATGAATAGAAATGCGTTCTCCCTCTCGCTCTCCCATTATAAAGTTGTGTTAAACTGAACACTATTTTCTCAATCAATTCTTCTATGATTCTATGATTCAGATATTTACATATCAAGTTTTCAGAGTTTTGAATATTAATCTCATGTAAATGAAAGAATCTAAGAGGTAGTAAGCTTATTGAATGAATGGTGTAATTAAGATTATGTTAAATGTAGTTTTTATAAATTGGTAACAACCAAACTCTACAAATACAATTTTTGAAAGAAAACTTTTTTAAAAATAGATGAACCAGTTTGTTTAAAATTTTACCACGTAATTATAAAGGTGCTGAGACCACGTATTAAAAAAATTGTTTCAAACGATTTTTCATTTAGTTTAGACCAGAACCAACATATGGTCACATATTTTACCATTGTTTACTTATAGAAGACTCCAAAATATAACAATTGAGAGTGCCGGAGAATACTCTGCATAATTTGAAACGTGATTGTTATCGAAAATTAGATTCACGTCCGAAAAAAGGGGAAAAATGTGTTCGCATATTTGATGCAGGTAATGCGTGTACCTTAAGCGTTCTTGGAACAAAAATGTAGTACAAAATATTTTTCTCTATAGCTACATTACCAACGTTTGTATTTATATTAACAGCTGTGCCGTATTACATTGACTACTATAGTAAATTGCATAGGGTTAGTTTACACCACATTTGGTACGTGTACTAAACATGTAGTTTTATTTTAAAAAAATGGTAAGTTAATCACTTTTCGAGCAAAAGAGAAATCCCCTGGATTCATGATTTTTAATACTCTGACCGCAGAGTGCCACCTTCCGCCAAGTGTGTAATCAGTGCCAACTAAATTTTCTCTCCGAGATCTCGTTTTACCTTTGTCTTAGAACAAAAGCTTATAAGACACTTTTTTACCTCTATCATGTTCAAATCTATCAGTTATCCATAAAATCTATTAAATCTCTCAGTTTCTCCATTACTAGAGTATTCTAAATTGTTGGGCAATTGTTCTAACATTTTTGTTTCTCATATCAGAGCTTACGCTGATTGTATATTGATCAAAATAAAAGCTCCGCGCCATTTTGATTCTAGTCTAGACTAAGTCAAAAAATTTTGTTAGAATTCAACTTTTGAAAGTGTCGGGATATTTCTTAGGTACTCACGAGGCATGTGCTAAAGTTTAAAGTGTTCGGTGCAATCCTTAAAAAAAAAAATCTTTTAGAATCCACTGTTTTTGGAGGGGGAGTTTCTCTTCGCCTCAGTTTTCGTCAAGGGTATCAGACCCAACTGGCTAAAATTTCAGCACGTGACGCGGTGCACCTAAGAAATATCCTGTCACTTTCAAAAGTTGGAAAACAAAAATTGATGGCTTAGTCTAGACTAGAATCAAAATAGCGTCGAGCTCTCATATTTCGATAAATATGTAATTATTAAAGGTTTTGATGCGAGAAACGACAGTATTAGGACAATTTCCCAATAATTTATAACACTTTAGTAAATGGGAAACTCATGTTTGAACATAATACTGTGGAAAAAAAAGTATCTTTTGAGCTTGTGTGCTGAGATGAAGGTAACACGGTTGGCACTGAATGCCCGGTAAGAAGGCTGGAATTGATTTGAATTGAAAATTTTAATAAATACGAGAATAGGAATAGAGCAAAGGAATATGAATCTCAATACTCTCTGTGAAATTGAAACATTTTTTATTTACACATTTTAAAAAATAAGAAAAAAATTCGATTTTTATGGTTACATATGGTTACGTAAGTTATACTTTCATCACTTTTACGTTGAAACCGTAAGACATTGAATTCTATTCTATTCAATCCTTTTTACCGGATGCACACATGATGCAACGTGGCACTCTACTGTCGATGGAGTATCACAAATCATGAATCCATGGAAGTTTTGGAATTTTACTTTAATTTCTTTATAATTATTATACGAAAACTGTGGACTATTTAGAATACTATTGAATGTAATACGACACAGCTATCAACATCGGTACATAGGTACCGATCATCGGTAACATAGGTATTTAAAGGTCCTTTTTACCGACATCGATTAAATTTCTCGATGGGTTTTACTTCACTTTAATGAAAAATACTCCCGCCGAATGCTAGTAAGTTACAAAATTCACGTGAAATTTAAAGTTCATACTAATGATGAACAAATCACGCGATGTCAAAGCGAGGCAGAGTAGGAGAAAAAATACTTCAGAAGAGAATCATGCATGTGAAAGTTATTTCACAAGATCTGGGAATACTTTTTTAAAAATGACTATAGTTCCAGTACTCTTTCAAATATGTTCGAAAAAAATTCGAAAACATGTTTATTTAGTAGTAAGGTAAAATTGTTAGTGTACTAACGTATCTAGTAATTATGAGACTTAATCGGGAGTAACAACGAATGTTTATGTTCCTTTAAATCAATTTTATATTTTTACTTTTGAATAAATGATGGTGTTTATTTATTTTTTTCCTTTGTATTATACAGTGTAAAGTACATTGCAAATCATGGCTAGTACACTATATAGATAATTGAAAATCATTCGGTATTAATTACTTCTCCTGCGTATAAAAGCGTATAAGTATAAGAACAATGACCATGTATGATAAGAATCGAAAAGGAAAAAAATGTTCCTTAAAATTGTGGTGGCTTTCGAGAATGACCCGCGCCCATTGTCACCAATGAGTTGACGTTTCGCAAACTTTATAGTTCGCTTCATCAGGGCACACACTGATGAAATGTGCAGGGAAAAATGTCAATATTAACCATTTTGAACATTATTATAAAAAGCATATTTGTTTCTAGTTGTCGTGAACGTTGATGGGCAACCCGTTAATGTCCAGTTATGCGACACTGCAGGTCAAGACGATTTCGACCCCTTACGATCACTGTGCTATCCAGAAACGGATGTATTTCTAGTTTGCTTCAGCATTGTATGCCCTTCTTCATATCACAGTGTCGCTTCGAAATGGGTTGACGAAGTACGGAAATACTGCCCCAATACTCCAATAATTGTGGTAAAGTTACTTTCTAATTTTTAAAGTCTATATTACAGCTAAGAGATTATATTAGCTTGCGGACATTTATCAAGTCTCCATAATTTTCTGGTAGATATACATAAAGAATAAAAAAATGTACACGAAAAATAGAATTATTTTCCAATAACCTTAGAACTCATGAATATGGCATAAATCTACCCCAGTAGATTCTGATACTTCACTTCGAAGGTAACAACTTTTGTTGTTCATCTATCTTTACATGGAGTTTTCAGCAACTAAACTTGAATGATATTGAATTTGCCATTGATCGTTCATTTCCTTGGGAGAAAAAAAAAATCACCTACTAACAAACCCCTTTACTGCTGGTAAGAAACATTTTGTCAACGAGAAACAAGCAGGATGGATGTCTACCTCAGTCGAATTAAAAGGTAGAAAAAATGATACATGAGGTCTTGGGTTAAAAAAGATTTTTTAATTCTTTTTGGTACAACATCCTCCAGAAATGTAAATTATTTTATTTAACATTTACGTTGTACTTATTTGCAAATTTTTATTTCAGATAGGAACGAAGAGTGATTTGCGATCTGATGTACGTTTGACGCTGCAACTTGCCAGATACGGTCAAGCACCGATCACGACGGTTCAAGGACACCAATTAGCTCAAAGGTTAGGAGCTGTAAATTATGTCGAAACGTCGGCATTAACTCAGCATGATCTTAAAGAAGCGTTCGACCAAGCCATAGTTAGCGCCCTAGGCTCAAGAGGTAGCTTCTCAAGCTCCCTGTATCAACGCAAGAAACCTCCTCCTCTCTGGCGGCGATGGTTCTGTTGCTACGAAAAGTCCCCTTCGACCAGCCCTTAGGACTTTTAGACCTATCTTTTTAGATTTTTCAACTGTGATTACGCATAGCTGCCTTCCTATCAGTTTCATAATCATTAAATATTTACAATTCTGAATGAACTGCATAGCTGTATACTCAACTTGACGCACATGGATTAGTCATAAAATTGAATATATTCATTCACATAGTTTTTGAAAATTTAGCCACCTTAAAGTTACATGCAACACTTCGTGAACTTCATCAATGATAATGTTCTGCATTATTGTCGGTTTGTACGGGAATTTACGCAAGAAACGACAGTCTACAATAGGATTATATATTTTAACCTCAGACTTACCGTAACATCATAAGCCGCTATTCTCGCCGACACAACGTGGTATTGAGTTGTTCCTACGAGAGATATTTTTTCTGAACTAATGAATATATATATGAATATAATCTATTTGTCTTTCGCAATGTGTTATTAGCTTAATATTATTCCAGATGTAAATTTGTCGTGTTAATATCAGTTTACTTTGCAGTAAAATATCTTACGCGTTCAGTTTGTTCTTTATAATTTTTAGATTAGACTAATATGAAAAAACCATGCATTCCAAAAGTATGATCTTTATCTGTAAATAAAAATTCTCGAATTTTCAATTCCTTCGCTAAAAAAATGAAATTTGCAAAGATATAGTTACCTATCTCTGAAAATGTGAGTAGTTTACTTCACATAAAATTAACAAAAATTCAGAACAAAATTAATGATAACACTTCACTTTGAAAATTTGTTTAACAGATTTATAGGTAAAAAAATATATGAATCTTAGAATATTTGTGTGGCGACTGCTCCGCCACCATTCACCGAAATCTTTAGAAAATATTTTTTCTCAGGTGCTTTCACCCGTTTGTTTCATTCTGTGCCAGCGACCGAAGTCGCAGGCCTAAGAATGCAGGCATTGGCGAAAGCCAAGGTTCTCTGCGTCAAAAAATTTTCCGTGCGCACATCTGGCGTGTACGATTAGTTTTTAGGACGCGAGAGTACATTGGGAAAGATCTTCCTTTCCGCACATTTTTTACCCCGCAAAATGGGGAATCGAGTACAAATCGTCCAAGCGATGACATCGTATCCCTGACGCTCCGATGCTTTCTTGAATAAATATTATTATTGTTTTTCACTGTTAATCTCGCGTAGTCATTTCGTGTCCCTGTATCACCTCAGTTTGTATTTCCATTATTACTGATATACGGTATAATGAGGGGAATGATGTCTATGGTATTCTCTTAAATGTGTTCACAGGTTTAATGATAAACAACAACATAATTAGAAATAATGATTTCATATGAAACCTTATAAAACATGGTGCATACCAAAGGGATTAAGCCTTCTCATTGCGAGAGGAATATTTACTATAAGTGTCAATTTTACTATTCGCGAGGTATTTGATTGCGAAGGAATTCAATGCATTCTTATACTGAGCATATTTATGTACATTTTTAAAGATCTGTGACATTTCGTGTCCCTGTATCACCTCAGTTTGTATTTCCATTATTACTGATATACGGTATAATGAGGGGAATGATGTCTATGGTATTCTCTTAAATGTGTTCACAGGTTTAATGATAAACAACAACATAATTAGAAATAATGATTTCATATGAAACCTTATAAAACATGGTGCATACCAAAGGGATTAAGCCTTCTCATTGCGAGAGGAATATTTACTATAAGTGTCAATTTTACTATTCGCAAGGTATTTGATTGCGAAGGAATTCAATGCATTCTTATACTGAGCATATTTATGTACATTTTTAAAGATCTGTGACATGTTTATAGATTTTCTAAAATTATATGATGTTATGTAATTAATGTTCCACACTATGACGTTAATATTTATAGCTTCTTAAGTACTTATTTAAAACTATCGTAACTCAATATAAGAGACGAAAATCTATTAATTGCCTGCCCATACGGAATATTATAGCGTCTCCAAGAATCTTGCTAAGTCTTCCAATTTTATCTTCCTTTTGTAACAACGATAACAGTAAAAATATGCGGTGTAATACTATTTATTTACACATAAGTTCTTCAATCAGGATATTTTATTGTCAAAGCATATTTGGATAATATAATTTATGATAAGTCATGAAAACTGTGTTTGTAGACCAGTCTTTTTATAATGTATTAATAATTTGTAGATTGCAATGTGAATTAAGCATTTGCCAAACGCTGTGCTGGAAATACCGGTAATGATCGAATATGCAAAAACAGTTTACAACATTTTTATAGTTGTAATGTAAAAAATATATTACGGATAACAGCATATTTAACAAAAATTTCGATTTTATTGTTAATCATTATTTAAGAAACAATAAGTGTAATAATTACACATGGCAAAGTAAGTTATGTAACCCATAAATGCTGTGCAATTGGAGAAGAATTAAATGTGCTGAGCCACTCATATAGCGCTAAGAAAATTAAACTGCAGTAGTATTCTGCATACATAGAATAGTGGTCACATATATACTTTATACCTCATTCTTTTTAATTATTTATAATAACTCAAATCACTGATGTATTATAAACAAGACGTGACTTATAAAGAAGAATGTTTCTTTTGACAATTAGTAAATTTTCTTAACCAGTTAACTGCATTCGACGTGTATACACGTCGGTAACCCGTAACGTTACAGTAAATTCTACAGTTAACAGGTTAAACACTGTTTTCCCATGGATATATAATATATCACCCCCAAAACACCGTCGGTGTAAAAAAACTTGCGCCTAGTACATTCCATTTATAAGAATATTACTTTTCAAAAATCGTAAATCTAAAAGAAAAGGCTTTGCAAAAATATAATTTCACAAGAATACAGTTCTTAAGAAGCATGTGCCCTAGGTTACAAAATATTGTCCTTAAAAAGTTGTAAAATCACGAAAGAAGCCTAGTATCTTCTGCTGGAAGTTAGTAAAACCAGAATACTAGATTGTAAGCACAACCCTTCCATTTTTCTTTTCACTGAGCAGTAATTGAAAGATGTATTAAATGGAATGAGTTATATACAGTGTGTCGCTATGCATATTACAATAAACAAAATCGTACATGAAAGTCAAACGCCGCCTGAACGTGCCGACTTGGCAGCAACATACTAGGCGCGCTCGTTCTCGCATAACGTAAAGCATTTTTAATATTTAATGAATTAATTTACTCACTTTTTCAAGCATTATAAAGTATCTGTTGGTGCAAGTCGCACTTAACGATAGAGGGCAGTGCTGCTGGCCTAGGCTATCCTAAGGAGCACTGATTCCCGATCCTTGTTTGCTTTTGGCGCGCAAGGATCCTATTTTTTAGTGGGACGACTGAGGTGGTCGCGGTCCTTGGTTTTCGTTAAGACTCTTCGAAGTCTGATTTCGTTCTGCNCGAGCGATTCGAATTCCGCGCTGCTCCCGCCGCTAGTACTCTGCGCGGCCGGAGAGGGCAGTGCGAACCAGGTGCAAGCCATCGATGGAGTCCAGTGTACATGGCAGTGTCACCCCCCTGAAGGCCGCAGCGGTCCAACAGGTGGCTCCATTGTTGAGCAGGTGAAACGTGAAACTGTTCCGTGATTCGTTTTCGGCATGTACGTACCTGATTAATTGATCTGCCACCGCTTCGTGGTGCAGCGTGCTTCGATTTGTACTGTTATCTGTTGGACTCATATTTTATTTACTCATGCGGTTAGTTTATTATCATTATTCTACCAAAGTAAATGGTAGATATTTCTATCTTTGTTACGTGCTCACCTGTGGCCAGTAACTGACAACGGAGACTCGTGCGTACATGCACTGAGCGATGTTATTTTCTAATTTTTATTTCTATTTTTTTCCTTTTTTTTCTAATGTGTGCGTGGTCGTGATTAATGTACATGAGCCCGCGTTGAAGATATCGGAGTCGTGGGGTCAATGAAAATCAAAGTGGCTGTCCGTTATCCAACGATCTCAGAGTCATTACTGATATCAAAATAACCTACTTCGAGCACACAAAGATGGAACGCGTGATAGGTGCCCTGTTGTTCCCATGACGAGTATAAAGTATTTTGTAGACCCAAATTTCTCCAGATTCTAAAGAATAAGAGACATGCCTCCATCATCGCAATCGAATTGGACCAAACCTTTATTGAAAGGGGGTCAAACGATGCAGATGCAAGTAAAATGCACTGCCAGTGGTGCCAATCGAAGTCAAAATCAAAACCAATCTGGAGACTACGTTGGTCTGATTACGAAGAGAATTAAAGTGGTTCTTATTGGAGACGGTGCTGTTGGAAAAACTAGCTTGGTTGTTTCGTACTCGACCAATGACTTCCCTGGCGAATACGTACCTACTGCTTTCGATAATTACAATGGTTAGCAGAAAATATTTTTAAATTAAAAATTGAATTTGAAAATCTAAACCAATGAATGAGACCATTTGATTATATTTTAACTGGTTTTAGCATAGTGAAAATTTCATACCATACATGTATATTTTTGAAGTAATATTAACTACATTTCAGTTAATGTTCAATGGTATCAAAAACAGTTATTGATATTCGCATATAAGTTCTTATAGTTGTGATCAGTGCTGCAAGTAGCTTTTTAAGGATTTTGTGCCAAGTGTTAGTTTAGGTTCCATATATGGAGGGGGTATATATATTAATGCCAATGCTGCCAGTATATGCATATGTGTATATGTATA